GAATACCACGTTTCCCAACTAGTGTGGGCTATCTCATACTTGAATGCAGTTTTGTTCACATAAGTTCACTAAAAGATGAGAAGAAACACGAAATGAAACTAAAGGCAAAGTATAAGGTGTAAGTTGCACATTTGCTCCATCTGAGGAAGACTTTATTGAATCTGGCACAGGGATTTGAATAGTCTGTGTTTATGGATGTTTTGAGTATCCACATGAATGTTTATTTGAGAGATAGCAAGGTAAAATTCAACTTTAACAAATATTTGTTTGCCTAAGCTGGTAAATGCAATATTGAGGTTAACTACCTAGTAAACCTCTGAGATGGAAAGGTAATGAAGTTTGAGTCAGAATAAGATGATGCTGTCTGGGATTTGATATTTGGCATTTGTAACCTTCTTACTATCAGCTTTTAGCCTTTCCCCAAATGAGTTACAGGGATATAAAGCTGTTAATAATTCATCTGTGCCTCTCTGTTCCTTGCAAATGCATATCTAACCAGTAGAGCAGGGCAGATGTAACAGAGGTCTCATTTAGCAGGACATTCAGGAAGGCCTCCCCCATGACACTCACCTATGCCTCTGGAATCATCTCATGAATTAAAAATGTGCAGACGTAGCCAAGGTCTCCCTTTCCTGAGGAATGCTTTCATTTAGGCTTTACTCTGTGGCAACATCTGTACTGCATGAATTGATTTTGGATGTAATCAACAAAACTGAGCATTTCCACTCTACATGTGCAGAAATAACAGAAGAGCATGCCTTACTCTTGCTTGAAATATAGCCAGGCTTGTATGTCCATAATGCAAACAGCAGAAGTGGGAGGGATATCAAATCCAATGAATAATTTATGAAATATCAACTCTAACCATATGCCAAACAAGAAAATCATCAAAGGAGAACATGACTAAGGCCTAATGTATGCAACAGAGAACTGTGTAGTGTTGACATAGTTCAAAGATATTGGTATGCAACAATGAAACACGGTGAGGCTGATGTCTTCAAGACATTTGGTGAGCCAAGTTCCAAGGCATCTGATTAAAATGCATGTTTTAAACAATAGGTTATATAAATAATATTGTAAATCTCAAAATCCTTGATCTTCAATTTTAGTTTTTTAGGAAAATGTGTAATCATCGTTTTGTGTATTTCATTTTTGCTTTCATCTTAGACCATATAATGGCTTTTGTCAGTAAGACGTAAGCCAGTTTCCCCAAATGGCTTTATAGCATGCTCTGTATATGGACCAAGGCAATGCATGTCTTTTTCAGTGGTTTCCATCCTTTCTAATTATTTCCTATATAAGTGCATAATTAGGTATTTTTGCATAGACAGCATTTATCATTTTTTAAAAAAATATTTTTTAAAACATGAAATCAGGGTAAATTAAAATTATGTCATTGGAGATCAACAGTCCTAAGGGAATTTCAGTTTCCTAGTAATAGCAATTCCAATAAGATCCTTAAATACTCAGAATATTGCCAAAACCAAGGAATAGATTTGAGACCATTCAAAGCCATCTAAAATTAAAAGTGTTAAACCAGAGAGAGTTTAGGATGCATGAGTAATTTAGTCATGTTAATTCTTGAGGTTGAAGAGGGAATTCAGCACTTCTTTGGTGTGAATGAAATTTCAGCTACTAAGTGCTGAGTCCTTATTTATGTTTAGCCATGCAGAGACTTATTATCAGATTATGTTTACCGTTGTAGAAAACATCATAAAAATCAATACAACTAGTTTTCCCAGTAAACATTATATTTCTTAATTAGTGTTTGTGTGATCCTGCACCCATTAATATCTGATGAAAAATTTTGCAGTCACAGTGTAAATCCAGAAAAAATTTCCTCACGTGGAAACTTAAGCATGTAGGTGCTTGTTATATTGTCTTATTATAAGGTAATATATCAATCAGGAAAAAGAAACTTACTGACATGTGGCACAGAAAATGCTGTTTTAAAGGCATGGTAAGAAATAATGTTTTTAAAGACCTTCTCCAGATCTCTCTGAAGATGCTGACAATCTTTCCAGGACGGTGCATACTGAAAGGGCCAAGCTAGTGAAAGAGAAGTAGAACTTAGCTGTTGTGTTCACCACTCAGTCTGTCTCCCAAAAGGAAAAACTGTAAGTGTTATCATTCACAGTAATCTCCAAAAGCAATAGATAGGCTGTAAGTAGTGTGCTGAGTGGTTTATTCACAGTTTCTTTTATGGGCTAAGGGTATAACTGGATCATCGTAGTAGTTCATGGTGTAGTTCTGGTGAACGTCTTCCCTTCCATTGTGCTTTTTAACTTACTAGTATAGATGTAGCCAGAAAGGGACAGTTTGAACTTTGTTGCAATCCAGGAAATTACTGAAAAACTATGGTAGAACTGAATGCAAGGCTTAGTTGCTCAAGTCTTAACAGAAAGACCTCCTCTGAAAACTGATTTGGAAAGATTTGTCTTCAGATCCTTTCTTTTACTCTGTTTCAACCAGAAGTTTTGAGCATTCTCTCCATGAAGAGAAAGAAAGGAAAAAAAAAATTAAAAGAAGCACTGTTCTGGTTTGTATTGCAGTTAAAAAAAACCCAGCTTTTGTTATACAGAGCCTCTTGGTGCTTTTGGAAATACTAGGGAAAGTTTCAGGCATTTCAAATTTTATTATTCAGTGTTTCCTCACAAGTTTAAGTTAGTATTAATTTTGCAACTTCATGTTTCTGAAAGATTTGCCACACTGTATTTGATCTAAAGGATGCAATTCTGAAGTGTCTTGTCTAGGCAACTGGTGTTGACCTCAAGGAAATTATGTGCTTACTTGTCAGGTGGTATTATGTTAATACACATTTGTAGCTCTCAGATTTTGCAGAAAAATGTAGCTAGATTATTTCTCTTATTGTCTTCTGTTACACAGACAAAATGTAATCTTAACCCATATTTCTGTAAATTTTAGTTCAGAATTTAGAAAAGTTAGATTGTAGTTCAAAATAGTATTTGAAGTAAGTTCCACTATTATCTTCTTGAAGGTTATGATACCAGATAAATTGTAGCTAAATGTTCATGTGATGGTTTTCAGAAGAAAATTTATGTTAGCTAAGGAGCTAGTCTGTTACTTTGTGAGCCTTTAGAAAATCTATTCAATTTTAAATGAATACCTATGTCAGTATCTGCTGTTATAGGAGAGTATGAAGATATTAGAAGCACTCTTCTTCAGCTCCTGTGTTCGACTTCTCTTTGAATCACCATCCATTTGCTTTGGAGAATGCAGTTAAGGAGTTGAACTTATCTTTTATATGAAAAAAATAGCATTAAAAAAAAAAAGTTTGAATTCACTTCTTAGTGGAGATTGCTAAGTTATTGTCACACTAGCAGTGTAAATTACATTTTACCTGTTGTTTTGAAATAAATCTAGATGCATACATTCAGAAAATTCTCTGTTTATGAAGACTGTCCAAGATACGGGTTGATGAAGAGCGACAGATTTGATAGGGCATAGCCTTTTATTGGATGTTAGTGGATAGACTGAAAGTTCGGGCAAAGATATAGCAGTGTTGGTCAGTACCTTCATTTCTATTTGCTATTTTGCCTAAACTACTCATAATACAAACTGAAATGAGTACCTTGGATGCAGATTTTGCAAATCTCAGGGAATGTATTTCAAGGATGGATTTTCAGATCAAATTCTAATGGGTGGGTTAGTCTAGATGGACACAAAAAGTCCATGATTGAACATGTGCTAACCATGACTTCAGGCTCATAAAATACTGGTGAATTTAACCTGTGCATACCTAAGTAATGATACTTAAGTTACAAATTTGACACATACCAGTCTCAAAAATTCTACTTTCTCATTTCTGGAAATTTCAAAGACCCTTATCCCTTCGGATTGCAAAGGACCTGTCAGATGGTCTAGTCTGAGTTCATAGACAATACTGGTATAGAGTTTGAGGTTCATCTGGTGTGCAACAATATGCAGTGTTTTCTGTGGCTGATAAATGTATACTGATAAATGTCCTGCGGTTATACTGTTTAAAAGTTCTGGTAACTGATGTGCCAACTCAGGTTATGGTCACTTAGGAAAGGGTTCATTTAGTAAAATCAAAAATAAGCAGCTACTCTAAGCTGGTGGCTTCTTTTATATTCATGGATTGAGATATCATAATTCTTCCTGTTTGTCTTAGATGAATGCTTTTTCAGGAAGAATCCTGGAGCTGCCTATATCTTTCTTGATTTCCTAGACAGAAAAATGATTAACGTCAGGAAATAGCTCTCCCAGCGCTGTTGGCATACACTGAGAGAGCAAATTGCAGAACATTATTTCATTTCATGTAACTTTTCACATTTTTATTTGTGTTCATTAAGCTGTCAAATGGTTTTGAAAGGTTCATTTTGTTTTTCAGTAAGGAAAAGATGCCTACCCTTGCTTAAAATTATGGTAAAGCTTAGATTAAATGCTTGCAAAAGGTTATTAATCTTAGCATTTTCTTTACAGAGACACTAATATTTTAATCTCATTTTCTTTTCAGAAAATATGATACTTTCATGTTACTTTTCTAGGTTGCGTTTTTAGGTAAAGCTCTCTTGAATCAGCAAATAATTTTTTAGATGCATAACTGAGCTTTAGATCAGCACAGTATTACTGTATACAACATTAATTAACTTAGAACTGTTTTTAAAATGAAGTACTTTCTTGTCCAAAGAAAAGTTATTTCATATTCTAAAGTACTTTGGTTGAAATTCTGGTTCCATTGAAGTCAGTGGTCAATTATATAGTTAGTAACTGTTTCTTCAACACAATTTGGCCCCTTAAGGTCTTTATCTGTACATAGTTTTATCAGTTACAATTATATGCTCATATATATAGGAGTATATAGGTATTTCAAAAACAGATTACACAAATACAGACATTTTTTATCCATACAAAATGTTGATATTTATATAGTGCAAAGTCTGTGATGTTGATTCATTATGCTGTTGTATTTAAAATACTTAAAGTTTTTAATTTATCAATTTTTTTTTCTTTTTTAGCTTCCCCATGGGTAGACAAAAGTCGAACTCCAAACAAAATAGATCTGTATGACGTTCGCAGAAGACCATGGTAAGCTTTCTTTAAAGGACTGATGTATATACATCACTTACTTTCTAGATCTGACTGTAAAGACAAATTTTTCTAAGTATTTATATCTAATAGTCCTTACTTTTAGATATTGCTATTTGTTTTTATAAAATCAATTAATTCTTCTGAATAAACAATTTTCAAATCATACTATTTGTTATGCAATATCCACTATAGTGTGCTGTACTGTTGCATTACATGGAACTTTTCGTAGGAGGATAGCTATCAAATATGTATAAGGCAATTAAAAACTTTGATTTTTTGCAAAATCAAATGTAATTCAGATTATTAGATTGAACCATTCTTCCAGACTTTTGCAGGTGTTTACAAATATGTCTCAGTGGTTTAGACTACCAAAAAAATCACTAGACTGGTAAAAGAGAACAGTGGGATTGTTTCTCTTGATTTTTTCTGTAAGCCTCTCAAGGCATAATGCATATTGATACTTGGATTCATACTAGTTGAATATAGTCTTTCAAAGGATGAAGTATTTTTCCCTAAGCTGGGCTGATGTAATAATTCATCTGTCATCAAGATCTTTAGCTCTGAAATAGCATTAAAGTTTTTCAGTTATCAGCATCTGAAAATAGTGAATTTTGATCAGTCTATCCGACTTCCAGGCTTTCCTAATGCAGTTTGGACTTCGGTGTACTTAGAAGACACAGCAAGAGAGAAAATGATGGCACATGGTTTTCTGCTAGCTACACAGGAAGATTTTGTTGGTTCAGCTAGATTTAGTTTAGAGGTCGTAGAGTATCTTCCATCACACACAACAAATGTGTTTTCAAGTTTGTGTCATTCATACCCTTTATTTATTTCAGGTATATCCAAGGAGCTGCATCTCCTAAAGACATGCTTATTTTAGTTGATGCGTAAGTGTTTAATGTCTGGTTGTTGTCATTAGAGGGATAATAGTGCTTAAATATATTGAACAAATCGCTGTATGCTGAAAAAGAGAGAGAGGATTAAGAAGTCCTTGTATGCAAGGATCAAAAATCTTGGTATGAACAAAATAAATACAGAGGAAAAAAATTGCTAAATTAAGTTACTATAAAACATTAATAGAAAGTGAGCAAAGAAATTAATAAAAACTCTCTCTTTGCTTTGGCAAGGCTTCCTTTGTTTAGCTAATGTTGAGGGACCAAAGGAAGCACTGAACCTGATGTGTTAAAGAGATTGCTTTATGCTAAAAAAATTCTTAGTAAGAGAATTTGCATTTAATGCTTTTAAATGTGATGAAGTGCTTTCATATCAGCAGTGAGTTTTATCAACATTTATTATTTCCGCACTTCAGCTTAGGTTTGAGGTGGTAAACTAACTAACTCACTTGAAATGAAAATGAGCAAATGATGCATCATTATGTTTTCATCTGAGCCACAAGACTGGGACTTTGAATTCCAGTTTTGGACTTTATTTTTTATTATAATAATGTAATAACACTAATGGTGAGTTGGAGAATTCAGGAGAATTATTGACAATTCAAGTGTGAAAGATGGTGAGAGTGCTGGTTGGTGATCTGTATTTTCTTTGTACATTTTAAATAATATTTGTTAAATTCAACTTTTCTGTTATCTTGTGGATTTCTGTTAGGAGCGGGAGTGTCAGTGGATTGACATTGAAGCTGATCCGCACCTCAGTCATTGAGATGTTAGAGACCTTGTCTGACGATGACTTTGTGAATGTAGTTTCAGTGAGTATCTGTTCTTTCCACAAAATTTGCATTGTCAACAAAGCCATAAGCAAACTATTTTTAATGCCAGTTATGAGATACTTGAATGTTAAGCTGCTAAGAGACTTCAAATATATTGCAAAATACCACATTTGGCTTACTGTTTTCTTGTAAAGTATAGTGGAAGTCCTAGATTTGTTGCTATCTATACATTTGAGTGAAGGGCTAATTAGCTGCAGTAAACAACGAAGGAGGTAAAGCAAAAGTCATTTAAACAAATGTCTGTGTAGCCAAATTCTCCTTTCCAATATATTATTCTGGTCTGTGTAACACATCTTCTATTTGATTGGCATATGCAAATTCTCTGAAATAATTGGTGGTTCCCAGGTTTTATATTGTGGTATGAGATAAAGTGATACAGAGAAGGTAGGGAGAAGTTCCTTCTTCCAAACAGCAGACATTTGGGTTGCTTGAGTTAATTGATGCACAATGACAGAAGGTGTACAGCCATATATCTGACCTGCCAAAAAGGTGCTCCCGAGAAGTTCTAGAGGTAGCAATTTTATGGGTAGCAAAGCAATTTTTCCCTTAATAAGTAACATAATAGAGGGGAGAATCCATGAAGGAACTTAAAAATGCACATAGTTTATGCATACAGAGGCAGCATATGTGATGTGCAGGTCAGAGGGTTATTAGGAGGGTAGGACTGTAAGGATTGCCAAATGAAGGTGATGCTGGCATTTCAGTTGCTGAGATCTTTCAGAATATGATCTGAAACTTTAGTACTACATGTAATTACTACATTTCAAACTTGACTACTAGACTTCAAAGTTCTGTTTCTATATAATAGAGTTTTTAAATAGTTCTCTAAAACAGTTTTGGGGTTTTTTTGAATGGCATTTTGGTCTTTCTAATATTTGCCTGAAATTTAAAGTGCAAATTTCTGGTTTTCAAGAAAGCTGAAAGCAAAGTAAAATAGATTTGGGGAGGGGAAAGATGGTATGGACAACTTTCAGTTTTCAGGCTGGTACCTTGGTTGTCATGTTCTAGCCTGGGGCAAGGCTTTTTTGTTTTTTATTAAGCTGTTGAACTGTAGAGCTTTGATTCTAAGGATTTATTTAGAATGGAAACATTGACTTACTCTTAATGACAAGAGACAGCCTGCATGGTGAGTAACTCTGGAATTATTTTGGAGGCAATTTTCAACTTTTACAGATGTGTTGTAGCCAGCCTGCAGGGGGAAAGACCTGAAATATCATGATCAGAAACCTTTGAACACAGCTTATTGCTTTGTTTGTTGCCAGTCTAGCTAGACCTTTCTCCAAGTAGTAGAGAGAAGCTTTTATCTGCAATGGCGTTTCCTTTGTTAAAGTTTTTAATAGTGGTTTATACTGTTTTCTTAGGTCTAAATTGCAGTGAAAAAAAAAAAAACCAACCTATTTTTATTATTATTATTATTATAGGAAATAAGCTTTTCTGTACTGACATTAGAGAGCTGAAATCTTGTTGTTAGGTTCACTGTTTTTTAAAAAAAAAATTCTAATCTTAAACTGCTGGAAATTGATTACTGTGTTCAGTGGAGCTGTGCCAGCTTTTGGAAGATCTGGACTTACATAGCTTTCCAAACTCTTTCCTTCATTTACTCCCAGCTGACCAGAAATTGTGTATCTTCCTTAGGGTATTTTATTACCTAAGGTTCAGTGTTATTCTAGCAAGGCCCCAAGGTTGGGATTTGTGTCGAAAAAGGACTAGATATCTTTGAATATTTTCTACACTACATTTTCCCAGTGGTTTGTAACTTACAATATGTAAGGACCTTTCTTCTTTGAATGAACTTTAGAGACACACATCAGATACTTGACTGCAGAACAACAGAGGACTTTTTGGTCATGCTGTGTTCATCCTCAGAGGAAGGCAACACTCACAGAAGTACACGTAATAGAACATGGCATCTTTAAATCTTTTATAAAGTGCTATTTGGTGTTGTGCATTTATGATTTAAATTTCCATATTAGATCCTTTCAGTATTGCAATTGCTTTTGTATAACTTACATTTTCATGTATTGGAATTGTGGGAGACGTTGTGTTCTGACATTTTCTTTCTCTAACGGAAGGGGAATCATATGCTATAGATAGGAAACAAATGGTTGTACTACTACAAGGCATTCTTTAAACGAGAGAAGTGAACACTGAAGTTTGGTCTTTTTTTTTAGGATTTTTCCCTTTTTTTTAGTTTGCTTAGGTTTTCCACAGTCCTGCCAAAGCCTCAAACCAAACCAAGCACCAGACGTGACACTGCATAAGAAGGTGATATATTATCACACTCAGTATTATTTGTTCTTAAGATTATTCACAAAAGCTTATACACAGGCCTAATTTTTATAAAGCATTCATCCACTGCAAAGTTCGTATTAGTTGCTGTGCTGTTTTCCTGTATGTTGTTTTATTTTTATGTTTGATTTAGATATCGTGACACTTGAGGTGAAACAGTACATTGGAACAATCATTATTCTGATCAATCAGATCATTGAGAATCGCATATGACTTTCATTTAAGAGGATTTCCTAGAGGGTCTGAGACCTCATGTATTCAAATATTAAATTCTTCACTTTACTGCTTAGTTTTTTGCCACTTATTCTTCCTTTTATACCTTCGGTGAAAAGCCTGATCCTGATGATTTATTAGGTCTATGTACTGTGTTAAAAGGCAGATGGTTCATTAATTCATGTCTAATTTTAAAATAATCTCATTTTTCTTTTTTTTTTAAATGATCTGAGGATCATATGGAGATCCTTATATGGAGGTTGAGGGAGGTGATTCTGCCCCTGTACTCTGCTCTGGTGAGACCCCACCTGGAGTGCTGCATCCAGCTGTGGAACCCCCAGCACAGGAAAGACCTGGACCTGTTGGAGCGGGTCCAGAAGAGGGCCACAAAAATGATCAGAGGGATGGAACACCTCTCCTATGAGGAAAGGCTGGGAGAGTTGGGGTTGTTCAGCCTGGAGAAGAGAAGGCTCTGAGTAGACCTTATTGAGTCATTTGAATACTTAAAGGGGGCTTATAACAAAGATAGGGACAAACTTTTTAGCAGGGCCTGTTGCGACAGGACAAAGGGGAATGGCTTTAAACTAAAGGGGGGTCAATTTAGACTAGATCTAAGGAAGAAATTTTTTACGCTGAGGGTGGTGAAGCACTGGCACAGGTTGCCCAGAGAGGTGGTGGCTGCCCCATCCCTGGAAACATTCCAGGTCAGGTTGGAGGGGGCTCTGAGCAACCTGATGTAGTTGAAGATGTCCCTGCCCATGGCAGGGGGGTTGGACTAGATGACCTTTGAAGGGACACAAACTATTCTATGATTCTATGATATGGTGATACACAAAAGATCATCATTATTCTTCACAGAATATTCCATAACAAAGAAGGCTTATCTAAATCAAGTCTAACTCCAGTTCTTTCTTCATAAATCCAAACCCCAAAATAACTACTTAATCATTTTGTTCTAGGTGAAAGAAATGTAGATTTATTTGGTATATTTCATGTTTTTGCTTCAGGACATTTTCTTTTGAAACATCCTGGTATTAGACATCATTGGCTAATTAAAAAGTCCAAAAAGCTAGGTGATAATTTTCAGTTGATATAATATCAGCAGATAGATATATGAACACTAGCAATAACTGGAAGTTATCAATTTTTCTTTCCCTCTGGATCTTTTGGCCAAGAAAGCAACAGTTGTTTTATTGCTTGTTAGCTTTAATAACCATAGAGTGTTTAGTAATGAGGTTTTGACTTAACTAGAGAGCTGTTTTACCACTAACCTCTGCCAAGATGTTGTCCCACAAAACCCATATGTATGATGATTCATGCCCACAACTGAGAGACACAGATTTAAGCTCATGCCAATCACTTCTGGAAAGTGACAAGATGATTTAATCAACCATGCCTGGTATATGGAGAAATCCTGGGGAACAAAAAGCTTAAAAGTAGATGTGTTAAAATACATTAGTTCTACTGATTCAATATAGTTCTCGCATTAATTTCCAGCGAAAAGAGGTTGAACGAACTATTAAGTCACGTAAAGACTGCCAGGGGTTAATATGTCATGATTTCCTCTGGGATTTGCATTTTTCTTATCTGAAGTGCCGTGCTCTGTTGCAGAAAGAAAACCTGCTGTTTGAAAGAGCTTAAATGTATGAGTAATACAGCTGTTTTCCCACTAATCCGGTTATATGCTTTGATAGCAGTAACTGGTAGATGATAGGGGCAGCAATTCCATCCCAGCATGCTATGATTTAGTGACCTGGTTTCAAATGTTGACACAGTGTAATTTGTTTATGATTGTGGGTAGGCTGCAGTTTGCAGGAGAAATGTGTTTCAACTTCAAATCTGTAGAGGTGGGGAAAACCACACAAAGGAAAAACCTACCTTACAGCAACAGGCATGTTAAAGGTCAGGAGCTGTAGGACTGTTGAAAATCATTCAGCCTTTCTAAAAATCCAAACTAGTATTTACTGTCTAGGAACTGGAAATTAAATGTTATGAGCATACTAGGGATAATAGGATCATGCTCTGGGAAAATTGAAAGCTCATCTCCTGCTCTTGTGCAGTTCTGCACATGGACTAAAGTTAGAGGAAAGGAGATTTCTGGATGAATTGATTTCAAAGAAAAAAATATGCACCCAGCCTATGAAATTATTGTTGAGGATAAAAGCAATCTGTGGAAGATAGACACCCTTTTCCACTGATTTTTAATAGCAGCTTATTGTGTAATTCCCACAGTTCAGTGGTTGCCAGGCTGTTTATTTTGCCCCTCTTACTCCCAAGGTGATATGAGCTTTATGCCTTCCTAATTAAAATATTTATTATGTGATAATGGGGGGAATGTTTCATAAAAAGCTTTTCAGTTTATCAAAGGACTCTTTTCTCTTTCCTTCCCGCATTCTGCAGTTCAGATTGCACTATATTCTCTTAGATAATATCCCTTCCTTCTGGGAAATACTTTCTTAAGCTTGTTTAAAAATTTA